GACAGTGAAAATCCAAGTTTAGTCCAGCAGCCTTAAGCCAGATTAACAACAAAATACAATTCCTCAATTAGTTCAGACAGCTATTCAGTTAACAAGTGAAAGTCCAAGATCAGACCAGCAACACAAATACAAGAAGCTGCTGGTTTCTTCAATTGTCCAGCAAACTTTTTGTCTTATAGTAGAGTCAGCTCTTCCTTTAACTGTCCAGCAAGCAGAACCTTTAATTCTGGTTTCATCACCAGGGTTCCATCAGGTGACACTTCTCCATAGACTCTCTACACTCAGATTTGCTCTTTCTCATCTGTTGGCCTTATAGCTGATGATAATGTTAAAGATATTGATCAATGGGTGAAGCATGTACCTGCGATTGAGGGAGCTGCCCTAAGATGAAGCTAAGATAATGGATTTAAAAGCTGTTTTCAAAAATTCTAACATGACATGAACATTTGATAAGTATTGGTGACTCAAAGAAACATGATCAAACTATGCATACTTGCTTCTAAGAAGGCCTTTGGTTGTTCTTCCTGCAAGATAGTTAGTCTTTGATTTTCTTTAGTAAGTCCTTCAAGCCTTCTTCACTTTTTACAATGAAGTTTGTATCATCTGCATAATATAAGTTGCTTTTGCTTTGGTTTAGATGCCTCTCTTTTCTTTCTTGTCAATTTTTTTAATTGAGATTTTAATGAAAGTTTATAGAGAACCTGGATTTCCATTCCTTCGCAGTTGGATATTTTCCTCCCTGGCCACACCCCACCCAGTTCACTTTTCTCTTTTGGAAAAAAAAATTCTTCCATTGTTGTACAATTCCTACCTCCCCCCTGCCCCCCAGTCCACTTTACTGTGCAGCTCTTATTTTGGACTGTTGTCATGGAAATAATACCTAATCGTATATTCCGTTTAAGCAGTTCTTTTCTTCATCTATTTCAATGCCATGTACATTATTTAGCTCATCTTATTTTAGTTTTCCCTCAACCCTGGTGTCTGTGCTCTTTTATAACAGTGGTATTATGCAGTATTTGTGACTGAGATATTTCACTCAGCATAATGTCCTCCATGGTCACCCATTTTGTATAATATTTTATGAGTTTATTGTTTTTCGGTGCTGCATAATATTCAATTGTATGAATATACCACAGCTTCTCTATCCATTCATTTGATGGGCACTTGGGTTGTTTCCAACTCTTTGATATTGTGAACAAAGCAGCACTAAACATGGGTGTGTATGTATCTGTTTGGTTGGCAGTTCTGGTTTCTTTGGGGTATATTCCCAGTAGTGGAATTGCTGGGTCAAATGATATTTCTAGTTCCAACTTTTTGAGAAAGTGCCATACTGCCTTCCATAGTGGTTGCACCATTTTATACTCCCACCAATAGTGAATAAGGATCCCAGTTTCTCCAGAACCTCACCAGCATTTGTTGTTTGCTGTTCTGTTGAATTTTGCTACTCTTACTGGGGTGAGATGATATCTCATAGCTGTTTTGCATCTCTCTCTTAGAGCTAGGGATTTTGAACATTTCTTCATTTGTTTGTTCACCATCTGAATGTCCTTTTTGATGAAGTATCTGTTTAGAACTATCCTGTACCCATTTTGCAATTGGGTTGTTTATCTTGTTGTGCTATAGTGTACTTTTTTGTCTTAGAAAATTTCTTTTGGCTCTTCAAAACTTTATATGATAAAAATAAAATAAAGATGGACAGGATCTAACATACTTCTCAGTTTTTTCAAATGGATAACCTATCAGCTAAAAGACTTCTTAAATGAGTGAGTCAGACAGTATATAACAAGCTGAATATAATTTTTTCTTGTTGAGTAGTTCAATCAGAAGGAAACCCAAGAGAGAACTGTGAGTTCTTGCAGACAATTGCTGGTGAGTCACTTCTGACTCATGGAAACTCAAAAGTGCTACAGTAGAAATGGGCACAATGAGGGATCCAATGGTCCAAATTATACATTCAGATGTAATTTTGTATTGATTTTCTAATTCAGTAGTTTTTCAGAAGGAGATCCCAAAGAATGCCAAATGGGCAATTTCCCAGAAATAGATCTCTAAGCCTTTCTTCTAAGGTACCTCTGGGCAGACTTGAACTTCCAATATTTAGGCTATCAGCTGAGCATGTTGGCTGCTAGTATCATACAAGATTTACACAAGTGCCTTTTTTGTTGTTGTTGTTGCTGCTAGATGTTAGCTCTGACTCATAGTGACTTTAAGTAAAATAGAATAACACCCTGCCCAATCCTGTGCCATTCTCAACATCTTTGCTGCCCTTAAACCCATTGTTGCAGCCACTGAAGTAATCCACCGCACGGAGTCTATCTCTTTGTTGTTGTGACCCTCTGCTAGCAAGTCTTCTGTGAATTCCATCCATCTTATTTTGATGCTTTCTGGGTCGTTCAACATATTGTCCACAGCATCTTTCAATATTGCGACTCAAGGCTTATATTTGTTTTTCAGTTCTTTCAGCTTGACAAATGCAGAGCAAGATGTTCTTTTTTGATTCTCCAATTTCAGCTCCCTGAACATTCTATTATAGTACTGTGCTTTGTCTTCTCGAGCGGCCCTTTGAAATCTTCTGTTTAGCTCTTTTACTCTGGCAACTTTCCCTTTGTTTTGGTTTCTCAATGCTCTGGAGCAATTTTTTAGAGTCTTTTCTGGCATTCATTTTGTGTTGTTGGGTTTTGTTGGTTCCCCCCCCTTCTGTCTTAGTAATGACCTTTTACTCTCTTTATGGATAATATTCTTAATAGCATCCCACAAGTCATATGGTCATCAGTCATTGATGTTGAATGGTTTACACCTATTTAAGATGGTTTTGAAATTCAGATGGAATAGATTTAAGATCATATTTTAGTTCTTGTGGACCTATTTTCATTTTCTCTGGCCTCTATTTGAACTTGCCCATGAATAATTAATGGTCTGACCCACAGTCCACACCTGGTCTAGTTTTGACTGGCAATATTGAGCTTCTCTAAAGATGTCTTCTACATATATAGTCAATCTGATTCCTATGCAACCCGTTAAGTGAGGTCCATATGTAAAGTCACCAATTTCTTCCTCTTGGGCTATTGATGTAGAAGCATATATTTAAATAATAGTCATATTAACAGATCTTCTTTGTATGCTTATGCATAAAGAAAGCATCAACGGAAAATGGAGTGAAGACACTGAATCACTGTACCAAAAAGAACTGACTGACACCGAAAAATTTCAGGAAATATTATATGAACAGGAGCCAATGGAAATGAATGAGGAAGTAGAAGCTGCATTAGAGGCATTGGCATAAGGCATTGAAATAAGGTTCCAGGAGTCAATGAGATATCAATTGACTTGTTTCAACTAACATATGAAGTCTTGGTTGCACTAACCAGTCTATGCCAGGAAATTTGGAGGACAGTTGTCTGGCCGACAGAATGAAAGAGGTCCATATTTTTTTCCATTCCCAAGAAGGGTGATCAAACAGAGTATTGAAACTACAGAATAGTATCATTAATAGCCCATGCAGTCAAAATATTGCTGTTTTGTTGTTGTTGTTGTTGTTATGAGCCCTCAAGTCGCTTATGACTCATAGCAACCCTATATACTAGAGCCCTGAAACCTGCTCTTTCCTGTGCCAACCTTATTGCCTCTGACACACCTACCCTCATTACCCCAGTCACTGAATCAATCCATCTCATCAAAGGTCTTCCTGTCTTGCACTGTCCCTTCAACCTTCAAAGCATGATGTCCCTCTCCAAGGACTGGTCCCTCCTTGCAATATGCCCAAAATAAGTCATACAAAGCCTTAGAATACCTTCCTCCAAGGAGTAGTCTAGTTTCACCCTCTCCAGGATGAAACTGTTTGTCCTCCTAGCAGTCCATAGTATGTATATTCAATACTCTTCTCCAGCACCATAGCTCAAAAGCATCAATTCTATCATCCCTAGTCATTGTCCAGCTTTCTAATGCATAGCAAGCAACTACAAAGACTATGGACTGGTTCAAGAGCACCTTAGTCTCCACACTGACATCGCTGCTCTTCAATACTCTAATGTGATCCTTGACAGCAGACTCTCCCAGTGCAATTCGTCTTTTGATTTCTTAGCTGCTGGTACCAAGAGTGTTGATTGTGGAGCCAAGTAAACAATAACTGATAACAATCTCAATCTTTTCATTGTCTCATAATGCTATCAATCTGCCCAGTGGTGAGAATCTTTGTTTCTTGATGTTGAGCTTCAATCCATATGAGCATGGCTGTGCTCCAATAAAATTAACAAAAACAGGTAGTAGGCTAGATTTGGTCCACAGAGAATATTTTGTTAACCTTTGATTTAGAAAATTATTTTTCTCTATCACTAGTCACTGAGAACTAGGACCAAGTGCTTTTGGTGATAGGAAGAAGTGGAAAGGCTATTTTGGAATGTAGTTTCCAGGAAAAGGCAGGCATAAGTTCTGGCAGAGTTTTCCATGCTATTAGAGGACACCTTGTATGGGACATGGTACTGAAGGAAGAAAGACAAATGGAAAGAAGGCAATGTAAACAATTTTCTTTATAGAGAACTGTAGTAATAACTAGAAGAATAGAAAAATAAAGAGACTTACACAAAAGCTTGAGAGATTTTTTTTTAAAAAAAATAAAGCTTTGAAGTGAGTTTATTTTCTTGCAAATTGTTCATTTCATTTTAAAGCCTGATTGCACAAAAAAGCTGGTTAGGATAATTTAGTTAATTAGCATTGCAAACACCATATTGATTGTTCAGTTGTTTCTGAAAGTAGTTATGTAGCAAAGAAATCATTCTTAAATGGACTACAATTAATGTTATGAATGGAAATGATATCATAAGTAACTGAAATATAGTATACTAAGAATTCTTCATTTTTAGACATATTATTTAAGAAGTTGATATTTTAGTTAGCTAGTAATACCAATTGTACATTCTTTATTACTCTTTCAGCTTTCTTCCTGAAATGATCACAAGTTAAGTTTATGTTTATTATAATTTCTGATATAATATCTATAATCATCATAAAGAATTGGTCCCAGAGTTTTCTCTTGCCATGAAAGCTAGAAAACAGGGGGAAAATGTTTTAGATATTATACAACAGGCAAGACATAATTAAAATCCCTGAAAAAGAAAAATAAATATGTAAAGTCAGTTTTCTACCTGAAGGAACTCCTAGGATTTTACCTCAGGTAAAGAGAAGCCATGTGTGAAAGTGTCAGTGAGTTACAGAAAGAGTTATAAGAATTTGAAGGAGGCTGGGGTGTCAGAAACCTTAAAAATTGACTTAAAAATTGTCTTAGCTCCTGCTGCTGCATGCTCTCCAATCACCTTCACTGTAGACATATGGTCTTGTAAATCATCAACAGATGTGGGACCACTATAAGAGAGCACTTCCCACACCGTTTAAAAGTAATATATTTTAGGGCATTATGATTATCAGAAGAGTTCAGAATGAAGGTTGCAGAGTGGAGTATACTC